TAAAAACTGTGAGACAATACATGTTTGCTTTAAGCTGCTAAAAAAACAAACAAAAAAACTGAAACCACGACACAACAACAAACATTTCAGAAAGCCCTGAGTGTGCCGTAGAAAGTTGAATTAATGAAAATGCAGAGAGTGACTGGGTGGCGCCATGAATTTGGGCGGTCAAGGAAGCCCCTTCTTGGGGTGACTTTTAAGCTGGAGTCTGAGTCCGAGGAAGGAGCCAGCCAGGAGGCCCGTGCAGGGGGGACGCTGTGAGCAAAGGTGGCAGTCAGCCCAGGGCCTTGCAGCGAAGCCCTGTGTGCTCCAGGAAAGGCAGCCGGGCGGCTGGACTGACCTGAAAGCAGGCAAGGGAGGGCTGGGGGGATAGTATGAGCCAGATGACAAGGGGCTTCCATTAAGGACAGAATGTCTGGTTGCCCCTAGGATTCATATGTGGTGATATTACCCCTGAGGTGATAGAATTAGGAGGCGGCGATTTGGGGACATGATTAGGTCACAAGGGTGGTGTCCTCATGATTGGGATCAGCGGTCTCATGCAAGAGGCCCCACGGAGCCCCCCGGCTCCTTCCGCCACCTGAGGACACAGCAGGAAGGCGCCAGCCTGTGAACGAGAAAGTGGTTCTCACCAGATGCAGAATGTGCCAGCACATTGATCGTGGACTTCCCAGCCTCCAGAACAGGAAGAAATAAATTTCTGTTGTTTGTAAGCCATCCAATCTCTGGTATTTTGTTACAGCAGCCCAAGCTGGCTAAGACTGCTTTTAAAAAAGGGTGAACACTTTGGATTTTATTTTCACTTTGACTAGAAGAAGCCTTTGGAGCACTGGTGGCAGATAAGTGACATACCTGACTCACAGTTTTGAAAGCATTACGTTAACTCTGCGAAGGACTGATTGCTGGGTGCCAGGGTGGCGTCACGGCATCTAGATAGGAGGCTCCAGGATTAGCAAAAAGCTCACAGAGGCTTGGACCTGAGTGGTGGTGGAGAGGGCGGATGTCCCGCAGGAGTGTGTGAGAGGGCGTGTGGCGGGGGTGGGGTGTGGGCTGGAAGTTCACACTCATCTTGTGGATGTGGGCCCTGCGGTGGCTCTGAGGGTGCCCAGTGGGTGAATTACAAGGAACCGTAGCCGCCCCAGGCTCCCCCACCGCGCTGTCTTTTCCCCGTGTCATCTTGTTCCTGTGATTCTGAATACCACTGATGACTCATCAAGACACGCGGCTCTGGGAGTTTCTTGCACCCAGTTGGTGCCGTGCCATGCTGGGCCAGATTCTCTCCCGGAGGCTCTGGCAAAGGGGACACTGGATCCCACCCACTGCCCCCAGCCCCCGGCCCGACTAATTCGCCCTACTTAATTAATTGCCTCCTCTGCGCTGAGCGTTAATTAAACAATTTGTTGCTAGTTGTTTCCCAAGGTGCGGGGTACCCTCTGTTTAACCAGGAACTAGTTAAATCTGGAAGAGAGTCGGGCCCAGGGTGGGCCATCCTCCTTCGCGTTGGAACAGAGAAGAGGTTAATGGAATTCTGCTCCCTTTTTTTTTTTTTTTTAATTTGGCCCTGGTAGTTTCAACTAATATCAGGCAAAATTCCATCTTGGACTCTTGACTCCAAATTTACCTTTTTCATTCTTGCTGACCCTTCTTCTTCCACCTGTTCACCACACCCTTGCCTGGCCAGCACCAGCCCAAATGCTGCCGTTGGTCCCCACCAGCTGTTGTTGTCACTCAATCTAATCCTTGGGGCACCAGCCCGTGCTCAGTACAGATGCCTGGAATGCCAATCTGGGGGAAAGCTAGGGCTGTGAGACCTTTTTGCCACAAATACCCGGAGTCCGAGTGACTGTTTTGCCATATCCATGACGTGGCTGTCACTGGTAGTGGACTCTCCAAGCACCTCAACAGCCTAATCCTAGAAGGTTGATTCCCAGGGGCCAGGGACGGGTCAGATGCTGGGAGGGTTTGGTGCTGAAAGGGCTCTTTGACACACGGGGTTCTATAGGCCAAAGCATCTTTCGGGGTTGACACCCGGGCCTCTCTAGTAGATCTCTCTGCTGAGCAGGGTCAGGGAAGGACCGCATCTATTCCTCAGTCGGCTCCCTCTCCAGCTTCTAACCGAGCCAAATTCATGGGGTCAGGAGATGGCAGCTGCTCTGGGCATCTGGCCCCCCACGGCTGTGTCTGGCCTAGTTGGAAAGGACACTAGCTTGAGGCAGAAGAGAGTGTTCTCCCACCCTTGGGAGCTTCAGCTTCCCCAAAAGACCACTGTTCAAGGGATCAGCTCTTCGTGGCTTTGTCCTTGTTCTCCTCCGTGGGAGCCTGACCCGATGGTGCCCACGAGGTGTGTGGACACCACTTCTCTCCCTAGCCTCTTGTGGGAGGGCACAGCCCTACTTATGGACCCAGCGAACGAAGCTCCAGGCTGGAGGGAACGGGTTAACTCCAACCAGGGCGGTGTCCCAGTCGGCAAGAAACAGCTCTTAGAACAGCAACTTCCCCGAAGCTCTTCTTGACGCTAACATTTTATCATGAACTATGATTTTGCCGTAATAAAAAAATATAGCGCGTGTCCTAGAAGGCAGATTTCGCTGAGCCCCTCAGTAACCAGGGCTCGGCTAAGTCTCCACAGGAATAACTGAAGCCCTGTCGTGGCACCTGCCCATCTCTTGCCGCATAAGGCTTTGAGAAACAGTCACAGAGGTGCGGGAGTGGAGGGAAGAAAGAAAACAAGTCGTGAGAGGTCTTGGCCAATTGGCTCATCCCTAGAAGCATAACATTTTACAACCGGAGAGAGCTTGAAAGTTCAGCTATTCCTCAGGCTCTCGCCCTGCTTGCACATGAGGATCACCCCCAGAAGTCCTCCTTGGACTGCTCTGCAGTGAGGGCCCAGCATCAGTGTTTTTAAGGGCTTTTCAGGTGATTGGAATGTGCAGTGACTGAGAACACAAGGTGAGCAATGCGCTCACTCGTCCACTCTGAGGGATTCCTCTGATTCCTCATCATTCCAAGCTTTCAGACTGTCTTCTCCAGAGCCCCAGGCTTGCTGGTTGTGGGCAGGGTTCCAGGCACCCCTCCCTCTGCCCCTACACCTTCTCCTGGGAGAGTTCTCACCTATGTCTCAGGGGAGCAGGAAGCGCCCCTGACCCCACCCTGGTCACAGCTGTTGGCCCAGCCATGGTCACTCAGTTCTGGCCCGCTTTACTGCCTGACCAATGGTGTGTGACCTGGCCCGAGAGGATAAATGGGCTAATCACATTCTCTCTCTCTCTCTCTCTCTCTCTCTCTCTCTCTCTCTCTGTGTGTGTGTGTGTGTGTGTGTGTGTGTGTGTGTGTGTGTCTAGAAGCTGACTTGAGCCGCAGGGAAGGAGGTCACCAGAGTCCTGGAGACGTGGCACAGTCACACAGGATGTGGGCTGTGCGCCTGGCCCGGAGAGCAGGCAGTGCGTGCGGAGGGGGCTGGGAACAACTCAGAAGGGCGGGGATGAAAGAGTGTCAGGATTCCTGCTCTGCCTGCGGTCTGTTTGCTCAGCTTTTCTCCGATTCCTAGGAGACCTTTCTAGAGCCTTAGAAAAGCCCTGTTTTACTGGAGCCTATCTCTGTATAACCGAAAGCGTCTCAGAGAGAACACTCACTACAAACAGGGCCATTCTGCTTTTATCTTTTTACATTTCAGGGTCCATGGGAGATTTGGACTGGAAGGTGGATACAAAAAGGTCTCCACTGTGGCGAAAAAGGAGTGCGGAGGCCAGGGGCTGAGCCCGACCCCTGCTTCACTGAGGACACGAGGCACGGAAAAAGGACCGGCAGGTCTTGCGGGCCTGTCTCCATGGGAGACCAGAAGAAGGGGTGTAGGGACTGCTAGGGATCCCCCCTCCCTCCCTCCCTCATGACTGTAAGCACGGGACATCGGACTCTGGGGGCAGAGGGTGCCGTCAGCCTGGGGCACCCTGGAAAGCCCTGTCTTGTCTTTGGCTCAGAATGGCTGTGCTTCAGCGGTAAAAGGGCAAACTGTCAGGCCCCAAGACGAATCCTGCAATTCTCCCCCTCTCCCAACCGATAGCTCACCAGCCCCAGACATCTCTCCGTGCACCCAGAGGGACGGCCATTACCTTTCCCCAGGCTGACCCAGTCCTTCACCTGCCATCTCTGCTCAGAAACCCGGAGTCAGGCCCTTCACAAAGGGAACTTGAGCTGGTCATAAGCATGTGGTGCCTAAAGTCTAGCTGACATCGTTTCCATCTGTAGGACTCACTTTCCTTTCTTCCCATAAATATGTCTAATTCCTGCTATTCAAGCTCAGCTCCCCCTCCACCTAGCTCCACACGGTGCATCAGTCCACTTCTTGCGGAGTAGACTGTGAGGAATGTATCTGACGGTTAACCTCAGGTCTGGACTGAGACGTCAGGGAAGACAGGCGCATGCAGAGCGTGGAATGACTTTGCTTTCCGTGGACTGGAACCTACTCCTGCATAGCCATACGGTTCTCTGTATCTATAATCCTTAATAAGGACACTGGATCAGTTCAATGGCCATGACACTACCAGAGAGTAAGGGAGACAGATATGACAAAGGTCTAGCCTGGTCCTACCACCCTTAGAGTGCCTTATTTGGAAACGGTAGAATTTAGGACTCATAAATCAAAGGTGAGGATGGGCTTTTAAACAGGAACTACCCAAATAGCACCTGCTTCCCATCCCAAAGTCCAGTATCTGCATAAAAGGCCTGAGCATTTTCTGAGTTCACGCTCACCCCCAATCTGATACCTCTCTTTCAGTGCCATAACCTCACAGTCTCCCACACCAGGCGGTCAGCCCCGCGAGAGCTGAGGACCAGATCTTATCAGCGTTTGCATCCCCAGAAGCTGGCACAGCGACGGATGGCTAAAAGGAGCTCAAAACATGTCTGATGAATGAATGAATGCGTGTCCCCTAGCCATTCTCCCAGAATCCCAGGAGCCAGGACCTTGGCTCCCCAGCAGCTCCCCAAGCCTGAGGCCTTACCTCCCATGAGGAAGAGAAGCCCTGCTACATACTGCATAAGGCCCCGGTCCCAGCAGCAGCCCAGCACGCCGATGATCCAGCCGAAGAGGATGATGGCCACCGCCATGCCCATGAAGCCGGCGGTCATCCTGCGCAGGTCTGTGGGGAAGCGAGTGGGCAACAGTTAGCATCGGAACCTAGAACTCGCAGTCAAGGTGCATCCCGGCCCCGGGTAAAAAGGGAAAGGGTGGCATACTGCAGGGGTGGAAGGCAACATACCCTTTTCAGACAACCTTGCACAACTGAGCTTCTTTTGTACAGGAGAGAGGGCCCCTGGCGGTAACTCTCCTCAGGTGCGAAAAGCATGCCAGGACAGTTTGGCTGGCAGGCACAAGGAGAGACTGCCGTCCCAATCGGCGTCATTTCTTATGCACCTTTGTGCCAGGTGCAGCGCTGTCGTTCCCAAGCATCAGGCCCAACGGTCTGCAACAGGAACTGCCTTTATCCTTCTTTGAAAAACGGAGTCAACTGCCGAAAGTTTTACGGCTACTGAGTACCAGAACAAGGCATCAAACCCAGATCCAGATGGCTCCTAGGTGCTAACCACAGCATCATTCACCTCTCAGGAAGAAACGGGCCTTTAGTGGAGGGCGGGGGCTCGGCAGATGGGCTGCACCTGCCGAGTGCTCCCTCTCTTCCCTCCAGGGCTGACGGGGCTCTCCAGGAGGTCCGGTGCGAGGAGGAAGCTGCTGGCAGTGTCCTGTTCCTTCCCTCTAAGCCAGCTGGCAGGGGCTCAGCTTTCCCCGCACGTGGGGCTGCAGGGCGGACAGCCAAACTTGCTGCTCTCAGACCGAGCCCCTGAGGCAGGCCTCTTCAGCTCCCGTGGACCCCAGGTCAGCCCAGCTTTCTAGGTCCGGCCTTTCCCCGTTCCACGCCTCGCTGACCCCACCGCACAAAGCCGATGTGGGTACGGCGAGGAGGGCCGTCTGGAAAGGCGGTGTTGTTAGTAGAAGGGAGAGGGCAGAGATACTGTCACCTGTCAGCCTCTTGCTAGGTGCGGCTTCCTCCTGGCTCTCTCCACTGCCCTCCAGGGCATCCCCACCAGCCTCACGCTCCCTCCCTGGCGTCCAGCCTTCTTACCTCCCTCCTCCTCCTTACCTCCTCGATGCTAGTCCTTGACTCCCTCCACCCTGCCCCAGCCTTGCCAGCCTGCCGCTCCCTGCCTACCTCTGCAGTTTGTGCAAAGTCCATCTGCCAGCCCCAGCCCCAGCCCCAGCCCCAGCCCCAGCCCCAGCAATGGGGCTCCAAACAGGAGCAAGCCATCTGCCCAGCCTCTGCCCCGGGTCTTGCCAGGACAGCCTGGAGGGCGCCATGGGCACTCCTCCCTCTCAGGGAGGGGGAGACTGGGAGTGGAAGTGAGGGCACCTGACAGCTAACCACATCCACACCCGTGGAAGCACGGGGTGATCTCGCCTCATGCCTACAAATGCCTGGCAGGTCTCCATGCACCGCGAGGGCGCCCTGCCCGCTCTGTTCCTCTGTCACTCCAGTCACCCCCGTCGGGAGCTACGGCAGATCCTGGCACAGTCAGGCTAGAGAAACCCTGGCCTTCTCCCCTCGGAAGAGGGATTTGGTCCACGCTCCCTGACCTGACACGGAGGATGAGACCCTGGCAGCGCCCCCAGGAGGCTGGCTGGAGGCGGGGAGGGAGGGGCAAAGGAAAGCAGCTCGCACAAGGGGCAGGACAGGACCCTGTTGCAGAGGCAGAAATCCACCCACGGAGCACGTTCCTGCTCTACCCGTCCTCCTCTGTCCTCCCCTGCCCGACCCAGAATGCCTGCCGCACCGGGTAGAAGCAATGCCCGTTCCTGTCACGTATGTGAACTGCCAGCAATGCCTCATCATCATGCCACACTACAGATGGCTCCGATCACCACGGTGTCCGAGGAAGCTGCACGGAGGGCATCACTCGATCGCGGCGCTCAGACGTGCACCCCGCTTCCCGAGCCGGCTCCCCGCTTGGTGCGCGGGCACCCACAGCCAGCTTGAGGTGAGGAGGGAGGCACAATCTTGCCAGCTGCACAGGCACCACCTCGTACCCCGTGATCTAACTGCCCTGGTCGTCCTGCCACCTGTCTCAGCCCTTCTTCCTCAGGCGCCGCCCCAGACCCTCGTGTGAGCCAGGCCGGAGCTGCCTCCTAGGGGGAGAAGAGCATCCCTTGATGTGTGGGTCCATTTGGACGGACTCCCGGAAGTGCTGCATCCACTCTCCACTGTGGTCAAGGGCAAGGAGGCGGTGAGAGCGGCGGAGGAGAGCTCGGGGTACTTTTGGATTAAGGTAGGCTTACACCCCCTTAGACAGATCAGGAAATTTCATTCTATGCCCCTTTTCAGTGCATGAAGGGCTTCTAAGATCTTGGTTCCTTTGGCAACATCAGAGATGGACAGCACTGCTGAAACCACCTGGCCCCTCCCACTGCACTTGGCCTTGCTCATGGAGAAGCCTTACTGAGCCTCAGCCCCTGCAGATCCACGGGAGATTGCCTGGGGGATTAAGTAGTGAATGTGTCCGGTAAGGTGTCCCCCCCCCCCCCCGCCAGGCCAGAGACGGAAAACTGGTCTGGGCAGGAAAAGGAAATGCGAATCGGAGAAATAGGGAAGGCTATCATGGTTGGTGGAGGAAAGCAAAGTGTTTAACTTACAGGAAAAGGCACAACGGCAGGGACACGGGAAAATCATTTCTCTTGTAAAAGTCCAGAGACAGGTAACAGTCATCTGTGTCCCAGGCCCGGGAGGGGCCGTGGCTCTCTAGCACGGATTAGGTGCACTCTGTCAGCCAAAGCCGAGGGCCTTGCTAAGCTGCTGATCTGGAAAAGCAGGATGAAGACCAGAGGTCGGGCCTGAGTATTTTCACCGACCGGGAGGATTTTTACCGTCACCCCGTGAGTCTGATTTTGCCAGAGCCGTGCACGTGTGTTTGGTTATTTCGTTCTCAGACCCACGTGGTAATTCAGGGCAGCTGCATCAACAACTTGCAAACACAGGACAAGAAATAGTCCTATTTTACAGACAAGGAAAGCAAAATCCAAAGTTTGTTTATTTATTTTGAGAGAGTAAGCAGGGGAGGGAGGGTAGGAGGGAGGGAGGGAGAGAGAGAGAGAGTGAGAGAGGGAGAGAGAGGGAGAGAGAGGGAGAATCCCAAGCAGGCTCCAAGCTGTCAGCACAGAGACCCATGTGGGGCTCGACGCCACGAACCTGAGATCGTGACCTGAGCCAAAATCACAAGTCAGATGCTCAACCTATTGAGCCACCCAGGTGCTCCTAAAGAAGTTAAAGAATTTATTGACAAGCCAGTGAAATAAAGGAAGAGTGAGCTGTGTGGGAAAAGAAAATTAATAATGCAGTTAAAGAACATACTGAGCATTTCTTCCTCCCAAATAAAGGGAGAGATGACAACACACAGGACTGGAAGCAGCAAAGCTGGCGGACGGTGCACTTGGCTGGAGCCAAACTGGAGGCAGCAGCGTTGAAGCAGAAGACCAACCTCGGAGTTCCCCAAAGTCTCGTGAACTGGCACCCACAGGTTCCTTTGGATCAGTTAGTTACCCACAGAGGAGGAACATAAATAGAAGCAGGATTTGGTGGAAGTTGTCTGAGATGGAACTAGATCCCTCGATCCCTCATCCACTCTGCGACACTAGGGGACCCCCCTCCCCTTCCCTTTCCCTGGAGTGGGGGTGCTTAGCACTGGCGGTTGACAGGCTCGGTGAGGGCCATTCCACATAGGTGATGAAGTGACCATTCACATACAGAATGTTGTATCCTTGCCCTTGGGACCCTAGCCCCCTTCTCCTCAGCTCCCGGAAGCTGACTGCCTGGCCTCTGCCGTCCAGCCTGGAGGCTGGGAGAGGTCTCTCCAGGGATGACCAGCCCAAAAGGAAAGACCTAGATAGACACTCAGCACTGGAGGAGCCCGACAGGAAGCCCCTCTGACCACTGTGCAAGGGAGCGTCCCACGGACAAGCCCGCCACCCACTCGGTGCTTCCAGACAGCTTTGGCAGGGTCACCTGCCGACCCAGCACCAACCACATACGTATAACCTGGGAACAAAGGAACTTTAGGAAATGAGCTGCACAGAGAAGAGGCAATAACTCAAAATTATTATTAATATTCCCAGAGAGGCAAGACATGAAACGTATTTGGCCTCCATGAAATAAGAACAGGAAGGAGTCCATCGAAAAGAACTATCTGGAGAATACAGCACCTTAAAATAACAGAATCAAAGTCACTGAAATTTTTATTATAAAATCAATTCCAACTTATGTATTACCAATCCTATCATGTTCCTAAGAAAAAGACTCGAGGAGGCTTATAACACACGCACAGTGTAACCAGGATAAAAATAATTAATGAGAAAATGAAGGAACCAGAAAATAAAGAAAAGGAAGATGAAGCCGGGCATCACATTCATATGCAAAATTCGATCCATGAGGTCCTTAGGAAGGGAATTAAGCTTGCAGTACCTCAACTTAAAGGCAACACTCATGACTTCCATTGTCTTTACCTTGGTTGCTTTCTGTTTGCGCTTGAGTAAATCCCGAGGACCACTCTGCCAGTGGAACGACCCACGTGCAGAAGACGGCCCCCTTCCTGCCCATCTGCACCTACCCTATGTGCCAATTTTATCTCCTGGGGAGGAAGAAACTGTCTTTTTTATTCTCCGTGACTGCTCACTGTCCCAAAGCAGTACCCTGCACCCAGGTACTTACGTAGCTTGTATTTCGTTCCCCGTTTCTTCCTGCCTTCTTAGAAAAGAAAGAAAAGGGGACACACCTCACTCGGGTATCTGAAGCCTCGTTAAAATATTATGCGAAGCTGGTCTAAGAATAAATCCCCTTAAAGAACCCGGGATGATGAGTCGGACTCTGCCAGCCAAAGCGGAGATAAAGAAAAATCATCTCATGAATCCTTTTGGGTTTGAGCCCATCATCTGTATTCAGTGACCCTAATGTTTCGCGTTCTAAGTTTTGAAATGAGAAAGGTGCATTCTAAACTTTTTAGAGAAGGAATTTAGTTCTGTGCAGTGCAAAGGCTGGGCAGAAGGGGGTAGATAATGAGGGAGGGTGGAGGATGAAAGGCCAGGAGAACCATTAAACGG